TACGAGTTCCTTTGTTTTGGAAGTCCCACTGTGCAACTTGCGTCCCAGCATAATTTATTCCGTACCATTTGATCGGATCCTGCAAAGGGCCTATTTACTATTGGTATGACATTTTATCATTGAATTACGAGTATGTTTATTCATTTATCATGTATACAAATAAAAGGCTGCCAACTTCATCCTACAAATTTCCTAAATTAACTTTGTTCCGGCAGTTGGTTATACGTCAATCAAATACTTCAGCATGTTCCCCAGTTCAAAAAATTTGACTTTTAATTTATGATAACAGTCATATACAGTCAGGATGTCAATCTTTCCGAGTAAAAACAAAAATAGTGTTTTGGTGTATACAGAAAAAATGGGGAGAATTAAAATACCATCATCTTAATTCTGAAAAACCTAATTTGCATTTACTTTCTACACACTAATTTACATACGCGAATTATCGTGTCGAAAGTAAATGAAAATTAGGTTTTTCAGAATTAAGATGATGTTTAATATTTTCTTGGCTTTGATGAGCAAAATCTCCCAGATTAAAATACCATGTATATAGAAATGATTTTTTTTGGGGGGGGGGGGGGGGGGGGCGTGGGAGGGGGGGATTTAATGAAACAATTATTACACTCGCGCTTGTTGGATATGACATGATTATAGCCTACTCAAATCTAACGAGCGCTCGTGTAATGGTTGTTAAGCAGATACGGCTTCTGATTGGCTCATGCGAATTTGGGTAAGGTTAATTGTTAAGACTTACCCTAATTGTTCTTTCAGTGGNGGGGGGGGGGGGTCGGGTGGGGGTGATTTTTGTATCACTTAGGATGTTGAACTCTAAAATGACGACTGTAAGAGTTATCCTGGTACCTTAAAGGGTTTTGAAAAGGGAAAACATATGGAAGGAACTAAATTAAGACTTTGCACCTATTTGGGGGTAAAATTGAATTTGAGCAATGCCCATAAAATGATATTATGTAAGACATTCCTTCAAAAATGTAATGAACCCCCTCTTGTATGATTTAATGGTGTTAATATAATTACGTAATAGATAGTATTTTATTAAATTACAGCTGGAATGATTATTGGCTTTCATTATGAGGCAATTGTTGAAATCTTAGGCTATTGTCCCATACCAGTGGTATGTGGTATGTGGTATGAATCGTCTGGGGAAGACAAAATCAGCGAGGACTGCCTTAAGCCTAATTGGAAATACTGGCTCATTTTACTCCTCGGCAAAGGACAGGTTCATTCCTCGTCTTTGTGCCCGGACAACTCTGCCTCCTGTCCTTGACGATGTCAAGAAGGCAAAGTAGATTGAGGATATTGCCGTGGCGTTTTACAACAGGGGGAAGGATGGGGCATGCTTTCGCGAAAGCACTCCCAGAACTTGTCCCATCCTGACTGTTAATTGGGAGGCCCTTGATGCCCTCAAACACCCAAGGTACATGCTTATTGCAATGAATTATTTTAGACCTTGTATTTTATAAAATATTTCTAAGCATATTGAGAAAGTTAAAAATTTTGTTAAGAAACGACGGCGTTTCGACGTTGAGCTAACGTCATTATCAAGTCAAAATGATACTAGATAAAAAATGTATAAATAGTCAG